TTGATAGGATATTGCATATGCCCTTTTTGATTTGGCTAAATTTTTCGAAAATTCCAATTCCCAAGATGGCGCACTCCTAAACGGGGTAAGAAAAAATTCCGATTTCTACAAATTGGCTCTTTAATGGTTTTCTAACATGAAAATTCTTAAATGCCCTCGGAAATGCCATTCGTGTTACGGTTTTCTAGAAAGAAATGCATTTTTTCTTTTTTGAATATCATCCCTGTTGTGTTGTTTTTGAAAAAGAAGTGAATATGCTATCGTTTTACACTAAGATATACAGGGTGTTCCATTTAAAAATGAGGTTGTTCGTTAACTTTTTGTCTGGCCCCCTATATCTATTTTGAAAACGGCAGATTATTCAACAATCGTTATAAAGAAAATTTAAACATGTTCTGTATCTCTTTTAAGGAAGAAAATATAGCGTAATTTTGAAATTGACAATTTTTTGATTTTGCCATTTTAAATACTAAAATCGTACGTATCCTACTTAAATGGCCACTCCTAATAATATTACTAATAATAATTATTGCCCCATTTTTACAATAAAAAAAATTCGTAATATTAAAAAAATATGAGACTTTCGAACCCAGCTATAAGATTGTTCATTATTTGTAGTTAAAAAGGATGTTTTATTACTATTCAACTAGAAAAGATTAATTTTTTGAACGCCTTCAAAGAAAACAGTATTGATTTGAATACAAAAAAAATACAGAAAAATAAAATTACTGTTATTTACAGTAGCGATCATTGAAATCCTATCACTGAAAATTCATTCCAAAAATTAAATGTATCGAAAACCCTTCTTGAGTAATTCCATGGTGGAAACCATGTTGTTGTATTATTTTTTTAAGTTTTGATTTTTCCAGAGTTTTTTCAGATTGGGAAATTGTGTGATTTAAGAATTTTTGGATTTTCAATTCCTTTCGGCTTTTATAAACAAATTTTATTTTATTTATTGGATTTTCCCCTCTTTATTTTTCTGTTTTAATTTTCTCAATTTTCTGATAAATTTTGAAAATTTTTTTCGAATTTTTGGATTGTTTTTCTAATTTTCTTTACCCTACGTTTCTCTGGAGTTTGTTTTAATGTTTTATTTTAATTTTTTTTAATTTTTATACTGCCTTGTTAATGTGGGTACATTATACTACTACTATTATTGGTAAATCCATCAAAATATTTAGACTTATCAACAATTCTTTTTACGTAATTATAATCATACTCTCGTGAGGGAAATGACTTTGAATGTTTGTGTAAACGTTCGAATTTTTTAATTTTCAAGACTTTTCGAATTGTTTTTGTTAATTGTGATGCATTTAATTATTTTTTTTATATTCTATGAAAAAATAATTCCTCAAATTACATGCGTGGAAAATCATTCGTGTGTAGTACTCTCTTGTGATAAACAAGTGTTTTGGGTCAATACTTTTTTTTGTTTTGAAATTTTGAATTTGGTGAATTGTCCTCGAATTTTTTTATTTAATTAAAAATCGTGCCAAATATTAAGTATGTCAGAAATTATAGTCTCTCCAGCAGAAAACAACTTTGAGTGTTTGTGTACAGGGTGTCCCAAAAGTAAGGGTGGCCATTGGGATTTCTGAAACCATAAGAGATACGATGTCGGTTAATTGGAGGTAAAATTGCGCATTTTGGGAGCGAATCTAGCGCTTCTTAGAAAGTGAAAGCATTCAGAATACTTCTGGAGCTGATCGGAATAAAACGAAATTTTTTTATTGTAACTATTTGCAGAGATTTTTGAGCACAAATGACACTTTCTCATTGCCCACAAACGGGAATGATAGGTAGCTTTGGCCCTCATGAATTTAATTTTTTTAAATACGAACTTGGATTTTTTATTTTATATTTTGAAAAAACGCGTGATCAATATGGAGGCACTGCCCATTTGGCCGCCGCCGCTTGACTACGGGTCGGATATATTTGTAAATTCATTTGTTCAACCTGCAATACTAATTGCCAAGGACTTAGCGCAAGATTCCTTGAAAGGGAGACCTTTTTAATTTGAACATTTTCTGTCATTCTAGCTAGATTTATTTATTCCTATTCTACAGAACCAAAGAAATTTTGTATTTTCGCTACCTATTTAATAAGTGTGTTGGTGTCAGTAATCCTTGCTGTATGTAGCTATAAAAGCTATAAACATTGATTTTTTACATACAAAAACATTATTTTGCTACAATATAGAATGACGAGTTCGTTCAAAATATAAAATAAAAAATCGCAGGTCCGGATTTTAAAAAACTTGAGATGGTCCCAAAAAACCGAAACGTGTCAGTTGGTATGGAACAAGAATTGCTATTAGAAGACGACTTTCTTTTTAAAAATCTGGTCAAATTTAGTCACAAAAAGCAAATCTGAGAATTTTCGTATTGGAATTCTTTCACTTTCGAGGCATTGCTAGATTCGGCTACACAATTCGCAGCTTTGCCTCCACTTAAACGTTGTATATTTTACGGTTTCCGAGATACCAATGGTCACCCTCGAGGTTGAGCCACTGATTTTTTTAAATTTTCAAGTCTTTGGAACCTATATACCTACATTTTTATGAAATTTTAAGTTTCGAGTGCTTTAAATTTTCTACAATTATTTGAGTTTCCAATTCCCTTCGACTTTTCCAATTTTTCCGATTTTTTTTAAATTTTTATGATTCACGTATGAAAAACGAATTACTAATTACATTCGTAGCCGCTGTAAATTTTCGGCGCCTGGGAACAGTTTGTTCATTAACACCCTAATGAACAATAGGTACTTAAAAAACAGTAACTCGTCGATAGAAAGTCTAAATGACTAGCTCGTCTCTCAAAAGGGACTGGTTTTAACCAGTTTCTTAACCATCTAATTATAAGAACTACTGTAAAATTGTTACTATCCAATACACATTTATTTATTTTAATTATTTCAATCGATTTATTTTGTCTTGAACGAAGCTGTTTCAATTAACAGCTTAAACTTAAACAAGTGACGGAATAGACGGTTATATTAATAGTAACAAACTATTAATTCAAATTAGAATCGAAAACCAGTCCAAACCAGAAGCTGTTTGTTTACGTAAAGTTGCTCATTCATTTACTCTTCGGAAGACTGAAAGTTTTATATTTGAAGAATACGTGCAAAAGATGTCACAGCAAATAATCTGCCTAAAGAAGGGGTCGCGGTCGCTTTCTATTTTTGGGAGTGTATTTTAATCAACCGGGTTAATGAGCTTGCTTATGAATAGTTTTTTGGGATGTTCTGTTTACAAATAAAAACTATGAAAAATTCCACAAATCTATATTTAACTGTGAAGCTAAAATAGATGAGTGTTATAGCATTAATTGTGTCGAATTGGGTGCATTTGGGAGGAGAAATTTTTGATAACTGTAGGTTGTTGCAGTCTACATAACGCAGAACATACGAATCAGCTCACAGCTAACACATTCTTTGTGTCAACTTGAAAAAGTTTCAATGCGGATAGCTCGCTAAATACAGGAAATGGGAAAACGCATAACATTTCCTGAGTAGGACGACAAATTCTTACCTGCCCTTGCATATTATTCTCCTGATGCCAAACTGTTTCTTTCGGTTTTTCCGAGTTCTTAATTTTCCCAATCTTTCCATGAATTTTAAACTTTTTATTTATTTTCTTTTCTTTTCTTGTGCTACTATTTGAAAAAATTACTCCTAAAATTAGATGAGTGGATCGTTCTTCTGTAATAATGCTCTCCCTTGGTGAATATTTTTGTCAAACCAATTTTCTGTTTGAGCTTTGCGTATTTCAGGTCGCAACCTTGTGAGCTCAAAAGGGCGCGTTCTTCCTAATCTGTAATAGATAACAACACAAAAGAGGGGTAGTGAATAGCGCGGCACAATCATAAAGCGAAAGCAATGTCTTACGTCTGACACTGATCAGCTAAATCGCATACTAAAACCGTAATTAATACTCAATTCCGTGTACTGAGGCCACCAGGTTAATGTTGGTGGGATCTACCAAGTAGTTAATGTAGAAATCCATCTGTAGTGCGAATCCGTAAGAAGAAAGAAAGACAAGAGAATGGGGTAAGGTTAAAAGACACCTATAACACCCGGATGGCCTGTAACGGCGAAACAAAGAACTGTGGTAAAAAACTACAAGATTAATTTACATGGTAACTAAACGGGTTTACAAAGGAAATACCTAGATGGCGTAAGAGATTGAATGAGAGAGAAAAGAATGTAACAATGTTTGTGTCCCCTCCCCATTAATCATCTAGCAAGAAGGTAAACATGGATAAATTTAGCATGCTACTACTACCTTATTAAAGCTATTTCGGTTTAAAAACAATTCGCTTTATCTGCATAATATGTACTTGTTAAATAATAAATAAATCAATAAAGAAACAGAAATTAAATTAAATTTAGGAAAGAAATCAGAATCTCATGTACTTGTTAATTTTTTAGATGTGTGTTATAGGGCAATTTTTTAATTTTGCGACCTTCTGAATTTTCAATTTTTTTGCTTTTTTAGAAATTGGGGAATTTTATTTTATTTGAGATTTGGTGTGCGGTCCTTGAAAAAATATCCCTTAATGCGTTGAGTTTATCTAGTCCCTATCCCCCGCCCCTTTCTCTCCAAAATTTCATATAAGACTTTCGGTTTCATATTTAGTAGAGGAGCCCAATAGGGGATTTTGGCATTTACTCGAGCGCATCCGATTAAAGTAAGGTGGGCTGACTGCGTGTTGAAAAGTGTTCTCTAGACTTCTCGCTGTTTAAGAACTAAAAATAAATTTGCGTCTCATTTACCAGTTGACATACACTAGGGCTATTGGATCTGGAAATACCGCGAATGCGCAGTCAGTCTCATTGTTCCAGTGGTCGAATTTGAAATTTATTCTGTGGATTAGGTACCGTACCACCACCTTATAAAATTAGTCATACTTCATACTGTGAACCCCAATTTATGTTGTTTGACCTATATTTTAATTGAGAACAAGTGAAATGATTAAATTTTTTTTATTTTTCAGCTACATTTTCCCTACAATGGACGAATTAGCGGCCCAGTTAGACTTTGTTCTCTCACATTTCGGTCTGAAACAAGTTATAGGGTTCGGTGTTGGAGCAGGAGCCAATATTTTGGCTCGTTTCGCTCTAAATCACGCGAGCAAAGTAGCAGCACTATGCCTTATAAACTGTGCCAGCACGCAGGCTGGTTGGATCGAATGGGGCTACCAGAAGCTAAACGCGCGACATTTGCGATCAAAAGGCATGACTCAGGGAGTACTCGACTACCTCATGTGGCACCACTTCGGCAGGGTAAGTCGCACGCATGGTACGATACACGCTAACGTATCACTTTTAGGACACCGAAGAACGTAATCACGATCTGGTGCAGGTCTACAAAAGCTACTTCGAGCGAAGTGTCAACCCAACGAATCTCGCATTATTCACCGATAGCTACGTTCGGCGAAACGATCTGAATATCCAAAGAGAGCTCGATCCCAATAAGCGTAAGGAGGCCAACACGTTGCACATGCCCGTTTTAAATATCACAGGCGCGCGCAGTCCTCACGTAGATGACACTATTACTCTCAACGGACGGTTAGATCCCACAAATTCCTCATGGATGAAGGTAAATTATCCACTCACACCTCTAAACTAAGAGTGGGTTTCTCCACTACTAGGCTAGTTTAGTAGTTATTTGTCACGGTAGTCATTTTCCCATATTTGTTTAATCATTTAAGTATTCGTTGGCTGACTGGGTAGGTAATATTTTGAATGTTGAACAGGTTTTCAATTACTACAATTTTCTGACAGATTTCAGATTGTGGGATGGTGTTGGAAGAACAACCGGCGAAAGTAAGCGAAGCCTTCCGTCTTTTCCTACAGGGGGAGGGTTACGGTAAGTAGACTAGTTAGCGAGTTACTTGTGTAAGCAAAACCGAAATAAATTTTGTAGATTATTTTTAGAACAATTTTACAAACAATCAACATAATTTTATGTATTACTATCAGAAATGATTTTTCGAGTTTCCAAATTCAGTTTGACACACTTCTTTCAATCTCGGCTAAATTGTCCATATACATATTCAGCGTACACTTAATACACTCTATGATACACTGCTTTGCGAAAAGATGATTTTTAATTTTATCAAAGTAGTTGTGAGTAACTTTTTAGTTTCAAAAGTCCTTTAGTTAAACTTGAACAAACACTGAGTTTGTTTTATTTTACAATGATTCTCGTTGCGTGGATATGTGCGAATGGTATGTATTGCTGCTCATATAATCATTTTTATTATGTGTACTGTAATTTCGATATATATATTTGTCGTATATTTTCGTTGATTTTGTTCTTATTTACAACAGCAGCAAACTCTATAAAACAAAGTCCCCAAAAAGACACGGTCTTGGAGAAATATTAAATATTGTATATAAACATTATTTTATAACGGAGGGTATAACGTTAGCAATGATTAACAGGTTAGGTTAGTTGGGCAAACCAGTTGTTTTACACAGCAAAACTGGATTTTAAACTAAAGGTTATCCAAACTGTTGGCTTATTTTTAAACTTATCGTTTGTGATAATGCAATGAACTTGACGGATATCTTTTTAGCGCGCTTTTTGCTCACTTAAAAATAAATATTTTGGCTATTGGATCTTGAACTCAAAAACAAATAGATAACTGTATCAAAAATAGAATTTTGGATAACGAACAGAAATAACTCAAAATAAGAACTAAAATAGCTTATAAAATAAGTGGAGACACCCAAATATGGGGGTTTACAAAGGCAATAGACAAAAAGGTATAGAGATAGTGAAAATGTATGTCAGGATAACATGCCAAGCAAAAAGGTGGAAAAAAAGCAAGTCACAAGCTACCCATATCGAGAAAAGCTGAGAAGAAAATTCGATTAATGAAAACCACAAGGAAGGACCGCATGTAACAAGTGGGGTAAAGGGTCCAAGTAAATGTGTAAAGCGCTAAGGACAAGTGATTTGGGAGGTGAAGAAAAAATTCTGATTAGGTCGAAACATGTTACTCTTAAAGGACCAGACCATAAGTATCAAATATTGTAACAGAAACAGATATATGACGAAAATGTCTTTGTACAGTCCTCACATATACAGGGTGAACATTTTGTCTGGAACACTGGATATGTCTTCAAAACATTTTTTCAAAACAGCTTGTTACATCCAATATCATAAAAAATTTGTGATCAGTGGCGTACTTCGGCATGTTTAATGGGGGCATATATGTTCCAATTAGTTTTCATTACATACTTTTAAAGGGTGCACGTTTTTTTTTAGCAGCATAAAAAACTTGTTGCCATATTTTAAAAAAAGGTTCATTCTTTGATATTACCTCACAAAAAATTGTGCTTTCCATTAAACCCTCTTTGGTCTGTAGGTACACTCCTCTGTAAATAATTGCATATAGATTTGCTTATACATTTTTAATGATTTTGGATACAATAAATTGCTTTGCCATAAGTAACAAAAGCACGTTTTTTTTTCAACGCAAACTAGTGATACTGTAAAATTAATTAATAAACTATTTTCCTTAATTTGAGATTTTTTCTTAAATTTGATTATGTAATATAATAAGTTTTTACGTTGGACATATCCAAAAAAGCGTTCTTTCACTAAATGCATGAAAATGTAGCATGGAACATAGCCCACAACGTTATTCTCCAGCTCTTGTCTAATAACTCAATCAACTCAATACACCTCAGCCAATCTTCAAATCCCTGAATCTATCCCAATTTAAATCTTCTTTAAGAAATGGGTTCATACCACATGCATTCTACTCAACTGTAGAGTAAATGGAATTTCCTCCACCCTTCATCACTTAGTATTTTATGTGTCATTACATTTCTCATATACATTAATTGTTTTTCATACTTTTAATCCTTCTCTCTTCACATGCAACAAACAACTTTTTTATTATAGCTGAATCACAATCTCCGTTTTAAACACTCAAATGCGTGCGAAAAAGGGCCTTTAAAACACACGTGCTTTAAAGTTGCTAAGTAACGATACTTCAAGCATGACTTTTGAAACTGTTCTGGGTGAAATAAAAAATCTTCCTAAGTCGCTTTCTGTAAATGCAGAACATTTCTTTGGCTTGTACCTATCCTTTGGTTGAAGCTTTCACAAACGCGCGTAATTTAGGGTATGCTTCCAAATCTGGTCAACTTTTTAGTCCCAGCAATAAGTGAAGTTTTGAATGAATGCACCAAAAGATCAAAGATTTAAATACCTTTGACATTTCCTTCATATATGCTAGCATTATCGATGCATTTAAGACTTAATTCGTAAGTAACTTCCTATTCATCCATGGAAACAACTTTTCATATGCTTGATAATAGGCTTTACTGGACTGAGATTTTACACCTACCAACGTTTGTTTAGATTTTACAACAAGCGATTTAATCGACGGTGTATTATCTTTTTCAACGGAAATCGTTTTATTCACAAAGACGACGATTTTTATAAGCAAACGTCAAGTGACATTTCCATGGCAATCGTGAAATTACGAACACCCAGCCCACTTAATTAGACATGTATTCGAGTATAACGTCAATATGATTTCATTGAATTTCCTATTTTTAAATTATACTGCAGGTATAATAAAAAATACTATAAGATACACGTGTATAATTGGTCTTTAAAGCACTTGCAACGTTAAAGGCACTCCGCTTTGCGTCGTGCCCTTAAACTCGTTGCGCGTGCTTTAAAGACTTGATTATACACTTGTATCTTAATATACTATTTTTCTTGTCCTTTGTGACGGTTTGATAGTTGGTATTAGTACATACATACCCATTGAACGGGACAGGCCAAGATCTGTTGTGTAGTAATTACTACTCTGTATTAAGAAATCTTACAATATGGCAGGTATCCATAATTATATCTTAATTATATCATTATTATTATTACAGTCTTTCTTGTTCAAGTTCAGGTCTAGTCTGGTAACTAATCGCACAGATTTAAATCAAGTTCTGGGTAGTATCACGATTGTGCAAGTGTTAATTTGGCTTTGCGTTTGAGTTGAATATGAATGGGTTCTGATAAGTGATAATGTGGTGTTGTTTCTAAGTATTATTATTTAATATTGTTGTAGGGTGCCCCTCTCAAAATTTTGACCTATATGTGCTCTTTGACATGAAAATAACGAATTCAAAAATTATTTTTCAAAAATTCTACAGAGAACCACAATACATCAATTAAATCAGGAAAGAGTGCAAAAATTATACAGGGTGTTGCATTTAAAAATACCAGATTAAGGTCAAATCTTAGAAACGGTGGCCCAAAAATTTTTTTTACTACGCCACTGCATTCTACATACAAAGATTCTAAAATAAACAATGTTTACCTTTTTTGATCATGCATGAATAGTAAGGTATGATAACATTCCAAAAAGTCAAACTTTTCGTTTTCACCCCGTATCTGTACAAACGTACCTAGATTGGTTCTATCTGTGGTATCAAAAGTTTCACAAAAAAGTGGCATAGGGTCGCGAAAACCGCAAGTCTCTATCATTAAAAAGAGATGCACTGCAGTTTCAACCAAAATAGGGCACACGGTACAGCTTGACAATACAAAGAAACACTTTATCCGTAACTAAAGCGGAACATATAGATTTCAGTCAGTGCCTTCCGTTTTGAAAATTCCAAAACTAGGACCCGATTTATTTTCAAAAAAATAAAACTTTCTTTTGCTAAATTATTTTTACATTTTAATCAAATAGGCTTATTGTTTAATTTAGTTTATTAATAACAAATTATTCTTTAGTGGGCCATAGATTATCTTTCGCCATTTAAAAGATAATAAGTTGGCGCAACTTTCAATCTTGTATTGCCGTGTAGATGTGTTGTCCTTAGATCATTATTTATGTACCAATTTTGTTGCGAAAAAGATTAAGATTTGTTACTCAAGATCTGGCTATACGCTGATCTGACCTCCCTCTCTCTCGTTTCCCTGTTTTTATTTAAAGATGGAAGATGGAATATAATCTTTAAACATATGCTCCTGTATTTCCTCATAATACTTTTCTTGACATAAGCAATTTTATTGTAAAAGTCAACGTTTTTTAATGTTGACAAATTAAAAGAACTATTATTTAAATGTACCATTTTAAATAAAAGATTGCTAACATTATACCCTTAAACAAATGTATAAACTTCAATCAGAGCTTTAAATAATGTGTATAAATTTAATATTATTCAATGTACTTCCTTAGCTAAACTTGTGCTGTGGTAAGATAAACTTGTAATAATTGTTGATAAATATAGATCGGGGTAAATTTTCAATGTTTCTTAAGTTTGCTGCTCTTGTTTTTAACTGAATAAGACCGTAGTAAACCGTAGCTTCCCCGACAAAGAACCCTAACCTTTTACATTTTTGATTTAGTAGTTTTTAATGTTTACTTTTGACGCACACTATGTTACATATGGCTCATAATGTCATAAGCACAGACACGCAGATTATATTGTGTTGACGATTATATTTTTATTTTCAGCTATTCATGTGCGGCCTTCTAAACATTGCTAACGATTACAAAACTTTGTATTTTTTTACTCTCGATTTAATAAAATTGTATGTTTCGTTGTTGCGTAATTTTAGCAATCGGAGAAGTGGCCAGTAACCGAAGGCTATATTAAAAACTGTGCTGTTGTTTTAGCAATACTAGTGGGTCGGAGGCGGGCAAGTAGCGCTGCCTCGATTGAGGTTAAAAGTTACTAGCCTGCCTATCAGTGGTCCAATCTTGTACATGTAAGTTGTTTATTATTTTTTTTTTGAAAATTTAAAAGCCTACTAACACCTATCGATGTTTGCACGTAAAACTAACTCTTTCATTATTGTGTTTGGTGTCATCCTAACGAACTGGAGATGTAATTGTCCTTCTTAGTAACTACTAACAACAGCACTGGAATACCTACAATTTAAATGCACCTGCATAAAAAAGGTTACGTATATGCACTGCATTACTTTGACTGGTGGATTGACTGAGAGGCTGGGGGATGGGGATTGTTATTTTAAAAATTAAACTTGTGGTGAAGCTACATATAACATTTTCAACTGTCTACATTCGTACAGCATGTAATAAGTGTGCATGGTCTTCACTATTTCTCTTCTGTTTACGTATAGCATTTTATGTTCAAAAGACTAGATTTGTGTTTATTAAGAAGTCTCTTTCTGTATGACCTTGCACACCCCTTTAAACTTTGAATGTTCAAAATTTCAGGTTAAACTTTGAGACTGTAGCTTTAAATCAATTTGTGCTTAGTGTAAAAAACTAAATTACTGTTAAAAATCGTGCGAATTCGCTAGACATGGCTTGTTTTTCAATAATGGTAAATCCCTTGAAGGCTCAACTGCGCTCCTTGAATCATTCTAAATAAATTTTTCGAAAAAACAGGTCAAAGTTGTTAGACAATTTATGATTCTGTAAATACAATCTCGTGCAAATGTACTCAATGACTGATCAGGGTGGTCAAATTAGTTACTATAGTACTACCAAGGAGATTCAATGTTGTGTAAGTGCTTTTTATGTAACCATCCACTAGTGTTTAATGTCTGTCCCTCTATTAACACGATTCAGTATCAACAAAGTACAGATGTTACAGTTGTAAGGCTATACCTACACAGTTCTGTATTCCCAACATATACGAGGGTGAATCAAATATAAACGAGACTATTGGTCCTGCTCGTGTAGTATTCAAACTTCAAGGTCCCGCACCCGGAAAGCGTCTTTTCCTTAAACTGTCCCGGAAAATTCCGGCTGGATTAACGCTAATCTTAGTAATAATGCGCTGCGCAACAGAGACGAAGACTTTCTTCCTCAGACACGAATAATAGGCAATGTCGATCAATTGCTTCCCCCATTCCTGACGTCCCCACCCAACATCTCTAGAGTGCGGGACTTTGAAGTTTGAATATTACGCGCACAGGAACAAAGTCTCGTTTATATTTGATTCACCCTCGTATTTATTTATATAATGTATTATTTCACTAAACAAAATATGAGCGATATCAAGACGCCACCAAATCGATCAAGGATTAGTCGCCGGCGAAAGGAATGAATTGGGATGTACGCATTCTTCCCATGAAATATGATGTTAATTCGAGACTTCTCTAGAAACTTTTTTGTTTGATATGTAAGCATTTTGAATTGTGTTTAATCTAATCTAACATCGATGCCCAAGTGAGAAATTGTGAAAACTGCGCTCGTGTTATAAATATAGAAATCATTTCTATTTAATGTCATCAACAATGTGTAGATACTATGTGAATGAAAATTTTGAAAATTGGCAACACAGTATTGTTTAGTCTCAAAATGTGCTGGAATCTGTAATTCACTACTTTGTTATTACTGCCCCCTATCCGTTGGTTTTGTAACATAAAGAAAAAGCGAACACATTCATACCTTTGGGCATTGAATGCTTTTATATTTAATATGCTACTAATTTGCATATCACCTTAAAACCACTCAATGAACAATTGAAAAAATTTGCTACACTTACCACCAAAGGTAATAGCCAGGATATAAAGTAAGCAAAATCGAAAAAAGGTTTATTGATTTATGGGATTTGTTTTAAACTGAGCAGTGTTTCAAGCTAAGCTGCTCTATTAGCTACACCAAGTGGCCTGATCTGAAGAATGACATGGGTTGAGACAGACCGGAGCACCGGAGGTAAAATGAGTACCTACGGAAAGGTTTTTTGGAGAGTATATCACAAACAAAAAGTTTTTTTGCACACTTACACCCATGCAGCAAGGTTATACATAAAGAGGATTGATATGAGTGCCACTTTGCAACGTCATGCAGATCGAGTACTTATTGAAGAGTAGTTTTGCACTTCGCAAAAGCCAAGAGGAGCAGGGTGGCCGTAAAAAACCTTTTGATTCCACTAAATTGGCGCACCTCGGTCTTTATTCTTACATCCCTCTTCCCTCTCTTCTCAGGACCATGGTGTGTGCCTTTCTGAGCATCTTTTCGTTGGTCTTGATCTCATTCTGTTCATTTGGTCCTAACAAAACTTGAGGTTCGCCCTGCGCTTCTTGGCGTTACCTGTTCCAGTTGGCCTCATCTCAGTTCTTATAAGGTCATCTTTCTATTCTTAATATGTTCCGTCTTCCAAGCCCCACTCTTCTTGGACCACTTCTCCAACCTAATATTGGCTCTTTTTGGTGGCCACCTTATCCTTATTGTCGCAAATCTGCTTCTTTTTTCATTGAGCGATCAGGGATGTCTTTCTAGATAACCATATTTTCTCTGCGCCATCCTACTAAACTTGACATAAAGCTTTATAGACTCCGCTTGCTCTATTTGGTCACAGTAAAAGGTCCTATTCACATGTGCAGGGTGGTACAAATCCGTGGCTCGCCATATGGGAGCTCTACAACAGTGCGACATACAGTGTATCTTTGAAAATAACTGAGAAATCGCTGAAACATTGAAAATGTGAAATTTCGTTTTCATTTTCCTTAGTTTCAACGGTTGGAAATGGACGGTTCCCGTTGACACCTTCTACGGGCACTTTTTTAGGAGAATCTGAATCTGTTATCAGAATTTTCATAGCACGCTAGATGTAGAAGATCAGGCTACTACTTTCTTATTTCTTATGGGCGCCATATTGGATTTTATATGTATGTTGCTCTTCTTTCCACCAAACGGTTGTTGCCCAAGCAATGGGAACACATGGCACGATCTTACTTCATTTGGTGTTCAGAGCCTTGCTCTTCTTAACTCCTATCACCCCGTTACTGGTGTTATCCTCAACTTTGCGACCATCGGAACTTTCCAGGTGCGGTTCTCCTTGTTTGTTCCTTTTGCCGCCACTCTGCTTAAATGACTCCTCAGAATCTTTCAAGAAGCCGCGGATTTTGTTGTCACGGCTGTGTTTCTGATGCCATCAAAACCTTCCAGATGCCATCCTACTTTTTGTGTTCCTCTTGACCTTAAAATGCTTTTCTTAGGGCCACTAAGCTCTTCTTGACGCCATTGTAACCGTCAAGACACTACCCTAGTATATCACCTCTCTCTTTGTCACAATGTTTTTCTGACGCCAGTCGGGGTTTTTTTGCAACGCTTAGCGCCATCAGAGCGTTCCAGGTCCCACTGCCTTCCAACCATTCTTCTTGCATAGCTCTTTTTAAGTCGATAAGCTGTTTACCTTTTATTTAAGTTTTCAGTTTATAAAGTCGAAATTTCGAGTTTAATAAGACAGAAGTGTCCACTTCTAACCGTTTAAGTTAACTTCGCTCTCGCCTCATATTTCCACTTACCGCTAAAACGCGTGTCAAATCGTATAAATTAAGTCAATCTTAGTATCTTTTCTATTGTGACATTATAACTATCAGTTAACATTTTCAATAGTTAGAGCTGGTCTTATCTTTTACCTTAATATATCCAATTTTCAATGGCTAATTCGCTTCTGTGAAAGTTAACCGTCGGGTAAATTGTACGGTAAGATATACAGACTTACACATATTGAGAATCATCAATAAATTGTTCTTTATGTGCACTATCCTTAGTCTAAAAAACAGAATAACTAAACCTAGATTTACTGATTTTGTAAACCAAAGACTTACAAAATCAGATCAAAAGCTTATACAATTGATTTCATTTTTATAACAATATTACAGTATTACAGAAGAAAATAGTCGTAGAAGTGGAGGGGGGGAGGGTAGAACACAAGGAAGACCACTTACTCTCATTTACAACCAATATGAATAATAACAGTATTTTGCAAAGTGCTTAACCAATGAACTGTTTTGTTTATGTGCATTTGCTACCATTGGGTAGTACGTAATCAAATACGCAATTACATTGTCCCACAAGAAGCATACTGCGCACACATAAATTGGAGATAACATTTTGACTGGCTCCATACACATGAAATAGACTAAACATTCATTGGGGTGAAAAGCTGTTCAATTAATATTTATCTTCAGTTTTGCATTTTCTTTTAACGTAAGTAACTTACTTTCCTTTTTTATGTGCAACTGTTGTGTTGAAGCTTCTTCCTTATTATACGTTGCATTGCATGCTATAACCATTTCTGTTACGTTACCTTATTTTATGTTTGCAGTGTACGACACAACACAACTAAACCGAATGCTTACCTCAGACTTTTTCGTTAACACTAACAAGTCAAACACGATACTAAAACTCTTATCCATGTGCCATAAGACTATGTTGTTGACGTTTTAGGAACGGTTACCAGTTCTCACCATTGCATTTTCGATGTTTTCAGTGGCTCCATTATCGCCAGTAAAAATGGCTCAATTCCGCAAGGCGTCTTTGGATGAAATGTTGAAATCAAAACTTGACTCAAAATTGCAAAGCGCGCAGTGGCCATCCTCGATCATTCACATTACCGAAAATCCAATCTCGGCCGTAATTTGCTAAATTTGCAATTCCCGACACATCAGTGAACTGTATTGAAATTTTCTAATTAATGCTAGACTAATATTAGGGCCTAATGAGTTTTCTTTGCAATTGTCTAATGACAGTATTATCGATATGGTGATTTATAAAAGGACAATGTTCTTTATATCTGACAAAGTGACTGATTGTAATAATTGTAGTGAACAGTAAAGTTGTTAACAATTTTTATAAATATTGGAATGTATTTTAATCTTCATATCTGTGACATATGTGTGCACACTAGCATTCCTATGGACGAGTTTGGCAGCACAATCATATTAAAGTAAATGCAATTATGCACTGCTTTCACAGACGGACGCACTAATATAGCCAACATTGACTCGTGCATTTGGGAATTGAATCGTACAGTTACATTGGGACTAAAATTAACACCAGATTATTTTGATTTTCTTCGAATGTGTCGGGTACAAGATGACTGTAATTCGTATGTAAGAAATGGTATTTGTATAAGAAGAAATGACACAATACTGGCATTAAGTTATAAGTTAACAATAAATTTCAATACAGACATTCGGCCACTGCCATACAAGCACATTTTTCATTTGCAATATCAAATTTAATTATATTATTACTATTATTATTATTTAAGAATGAGATCACACGTAACATTATACAGCATTTAGATTTGTTAAAATAGATAACGCTTTAGTAGTAAATCAAATATGTTATCAGTATTTTTCAATAATTAGTTGTTAGAATTAACAATTATACATAGTTCGGCTTTAAGCTTTAATTGTTATTACGAATGCATAAAATTAAATAACATTTATTTATTTATACAAATATTGTGATCATTATCATATTGTGCCTCACTATGTTATGTGTTTACGTTACCTAATTTTAATAAATTGTTGCTAAATAAGTTTGTTTTATATACTACAGTGGAAGTTCTAAAGGTGAGTATTGTAACATTGCCTTAAAAAAGTGCACACATAAAAAATGGTAACTAAACTTTCCCGCTCACATTAACTGGACCAAAAGATCATAGTATGATATTTGCGAGGCTTGAGGACGTGTGGTTTGGAACACTACTTGTACATTTTAGAACCACTACTGCTACAGTCTTCCTGTAAAGGTCGTCGCAGGCATTTTCTTTAAAAGGCAAGTAAATATTTACATAATGTCCTTACGAAAGCCGTTATGTCTGCGCCTAGCAGCAGAATCGGTACCATAGAACATGCTCTACCGCAGCGATTCTCAACCTGCGGGTCGCGCGTAGATTTTTGAGGGTCGCGGTAAGTACAGTGTTTCGTTCAACATTGACAGGATCCTATTCCGGAAGTCGCTGGCATCTTAAGAAAAACATAGGTTGTAGATCGACACAAGGACCGGCAATCTTTCCTGGCGAGAGTTATACGTAACATTTTTTAGTTCTATCAAGGCAGGTACGTTCCTAGATTTTTGCTGACTTCATATGCGTTGTGTAGATTCACTTGAGGCTGTTTCTGAACTCCCTATTGTGAATATTGGGTGAATTTCATCAACTTCAGATCTGATACGTTCGGCGTTCCTCATAGGAACACCAGTCTGTAAGTTGGGGGGCCCTGTGACGGTTTCTCTTTGTCTCCATGGGATTTCAATCTCAAACCAAATATTTCACTGAGGCTTTTCATAAACTTTATTTCATACTGACCGGTAGATGTTCGATTACACTATCATTTTGAGTCCGGTAGGTGAGTTATTACAGCATCAGAGCCGGTAAGTGTCGCTAAGCAACACTTACCGGACTGTTATTTGTATACATCAAATTTGACATCTTCACACAATTAATTAAAAACCCCAACATAAATTTGGCTGTAATTCTTTATTTCAAACATTAACATTGATTGTAATGAAACAATTTGTATTGCCCTCAACACTACGCCTGGGTTATTACTGTATGTCGAGTTAGTAATGTTTGATTCCTTCTGCTGTAGAACTTCAATGAAATTTTCGCCGCCTTGTATCAATTGTATCATACGGGCAATCTTAACTTTTCCTTCTACCGAGCCTTCGATGTATTTTTCTGCCGTCGATGAGCTTTTCCATGCTCCATGACGCTTTAACACCGAAACCCAGGCAAAAAAATCTCAATTCAAAAACTTACTGCGTCCAAAAAGTATGCCAACATGACTTTTTCCTCTACTTGTTTCACCCCATGTTCGTTCCTCAATTGGCAAAACACTTAGTACTCTTTTTCATACCTTGCGGCCGACTTCTTAGGAACCAACTTTTCGGTTGCTTCATGAGATTTCGACAGGATTGTATCGGGAACAGTGGAACATCCCACAACGTTTATAACGTCAATTTTTCAGTGAAAAAAATTCAATTGTCAACAAACTACAAACTATAGCAACGGCCGTTGCCACAGAAAAAAAGGTAATGCGATTTTTACAATATGATGAAATTTTGTAATCTTTGAAATGAAATAATGATACAAAACAGACTTACAGTATGAAATAAAATACGTTACGATATACGTCCGGTAGTACTTGTAACAGTACCGGACTTATAACGTAAATAACTATTCATGTGACGTTGATAGGGTCTTTCAATAGCATTTCATCACTTTAATTCCTAGAGCTTTGCGGACTCTTTCTAGAGCTTTTCAGGCCCATACCAGAACTTTGTAAATCGTTTGCATCAGAACTTCCTACGGTTTTTCTCGAGGTTTTTCTACTCCCAAAACCTTTCCACACGTCGTGCTGTAGAAGTGATATTTCTACACTTAACGCGAATGGTAAGGCATTGAAATTTCATTCATTCATATGAAAGATTGCATGTGATTTGAAACTGACACTGTGCGTCTCCTGGAACGTCTATAGCGTGAAAAAGCACGGGGCGCCGAAACGTCGCGTACTTACCGCGGAAAAGTCGGATACGGCTTCGAGTCAAATACCTTAACCGGAAGCCTCCTCGTAAGGCAGTGTCACCGTTGTCAAGTTCTCCAGCATCCTTAGCGCAGCTGCCACGCAGACGCTTACTGTGAGAAACTACCTCTAACATGACCGCAGAGTGCATCAAGCCAAGGAAGGAAAAAGCATCTATATTTCTTCAAGACGAGACTCTTCCCATGACGAGTTATATTGCTGAAAGAACTGTTGGTTTAGGCTAGCTATCCATAATGTGTGTCGACCAACACAACGTCGGCGTCTTGCTAATACAACAGACTATAAGATACGCGCCGGTGCCACTTCGAAGGTGACAATCTATAGATTCTACAGGAATGATCAAGAGGAAGCGGTACGGCAATCTACGCGAAAGCGTCCCGTGAGCATAAGGTTATCGAAACTGCAAAGCCTAGATGCCACCACTGTGAAGGTGCCATCTACTATCAACCAATTAAGATTTGTTTCGGCATACAGCACCCCTCTCGGATGGCGGGATTTGGATGCGCTCTTGGATGAGGATGTAGCCATCGTCATCTCCGGGGACCTCAACGCGAAGGTTCACTTGTGGAATTGCAGGATTTTGAACCTTAACGATGCGGCGCCGGCGTGGCCCACAGGAATTATTCAAGCGATCACTCGATTGTAGTAGTAGGACCGCACGAGCCTACCAATTGCAGTCCGGAGGGAAGGGACGGCGTATCGGCTCACTACGACGCCTGAGCTGGACTCGAACCACAGGTAATCGAAGATCTCGAAACGACGACCGGCGAGTTTGGTAAACCCGTGTAGAACCACGAACTTATAAATTAAGATGGACTGCTGATCAAACAGTTGCATAGAGGTAGAGTAGTCTCAAAATGAGAAGTACATCGTGACGTCATCACTTTCTGCGCGTATTGTTGCCACTAGTGGCGTATCATAGGGTATTTAAATTGAGGTTTGGAAGTACATTTGCTGTGTGAGGCAATGCACAAATGTCATCGCGCGCGCTCCCCTTAGGAGTTAACATGGACTCTCCCAGACACATTTTCATGCTTTGCGCAAATGACGTCACGATGTACTTCTCATTTTGAGATTACTCTAGAAATGGCCCTAGCATGGGCGCGGCCATGATTTGTGCACTTTTCAGTTATTTTCTAGGGGAATTTTCCTAGTGCTCAAGTGTTGAGACTATTGCAGCCTTGGAAAATGACATGTGTCACAGTAATTTATTTAGAAAACGTGAGGTTAATGCTTGTTTATTAGTTGATCTGAATTTCGCGCCAAATGAGTGCACATCATGGCTGCCCCCATGTAAGTGTCATTTGTCAATTCAGCGTTAGCAGTCCATTTTAATTTATAAGTTCGTGTGTAGAACTGATCCAGAACAGGTATCCAGCTTTCGTGGGATCCGCTACACCGAACCGAGCTCGGAAGACTTTAAGAGGAGGTAAGACGAGTCCTAGGAGAACTGCCCTGCGACGCTTGAACGAAGAGGATCCCTCCTTCTGGAAGATGGCCTACTGAGATCGTCCCCGTGGCACGGAGAATGGGGACTGGTGTAGGTACACGTACGGATGCCGAGAAACTTCAATAACGCGAATCGTGATGTCATCGACGCCGTCAACCGTAGAGTCAGGAGATCCCTGCGTCAAGACGACGAACAAGCGATGCGACTCGTGATCGAAGAAGTTTCCGACGCTATCAAAAGCCAACCCGATGAATACTCGACTAGGACCGTATAATATCGGGAAGAGGCCTGCAGGGCCCATTAGAGGAGAACCGTGTCATTCAAGACAAGCAACTCAAATTCCAGAAGGTTCTATCAAGCGCTAAGGAGTAAGAACCGTAGAATAAGCGCCACAAGGCATTAATCTCAACTAGTCCACGGATTCAATCTTTTTTGGCTTCTCTAAGGCGTTCGACAAGGTCCGGTATAACGGGCTGCTGTGGAAGATCTGAACTTCGGGTTCACCATAGCCAAGACCTTGATCATAGCATCATCTCTCTTCGCTTTTGCTACGAGGAATATAGATTGTGTAAGCACAAAGCGATTGTCGGAGACGTGTGGAATTTGCCTAAGGGACGGGACCACACTCTGATTTTTCACTGACGACGCCGCAACCAGACGAGATCGCAACAACCAACGACCATCTCTATCAGATTCCGGACAGCACGGACCATTGAAAAGGCGAGATGGAAGATAGCTGTTAACGCGGAAAAGGATTCAACTGTCTCGTTCAAGAAGAGAAGACTGCGGGCAATCTCCCCATCTTTGGTCGCCATTTGCCTGTACGAATCGACTAACTGTTGATTCCGTTGGAGAAGCAGAAGTGCCACATACCGTTCCGCTTCTTCGCTGTATCATGTTGCTTCCTCATCTCGTGCGGACTGCAGCTCTTGTGTCTTAGCAAAACGAGGCGCCCTCTTATTAATTTTCCTTCTGTTTAGTATGTGGGAGGTGTTTATCGACTTTAATAGGAATAGCAATTGCTGGAATTTTCGTGGTAAATTAATGATAGCCAATGCTGTTTTTATGTATTTGAAATTGATTTACCATTTGTATTTATTAAGTATACCACTTTTTATCCACTCTACACATTAATTTTTATTGTACGATTTGACCACCGGTTGGGGGAAGAGCAGGAGCGGAACTCATCCGTTCCTGAACTACGCCGTTTAGACCTTTTTTATTATATGAAATATTTTTTTTCTTATCTTGTAAATATGGTCTAATAAAGTCATTATTATTATTATTTGTGTTGTGTCCGGGGTTCCACTGCTCCTACCCGGTGCAGTTGCCTCCGAGGTTCGAATAATACACTGCGGTGGTTCAACAGGAAATGTTATCGCACAAATTAACAGAATTGACAACGACGTATATTTTTATGTAATTCAAATTCAAAATTATTTATCACGTTACTAACTCTACCGTAACTTAGTAACTGCTACAAAATACAACATTCTCCCACCTTGAGGTAGGAATATAACCTGACTCAATACAATAATTATTTCACTGCACTATTATAAATAACGTTTCGGACGCTTAATTGTACGCCCAACTCGTGAAACGCGAACTCGACTATCACTATTATCAGGTAACGACGTATTCACCTCTGGAGACCTCGATCCATGATTTGTTGGCTCCCGTACAACATCTTCAGATGTTTCTTCTGAACACTCCAACCGATAAATTCTTTGAATTGGACGCATCAAAATACCCCTGCTAGTCTTCACCCGTACAACCCGTATTTGTCCATCTGACGCAGGAAATACTTCTTTGATTATTCCCATTGGCCAGTTGAGACGCTTTGTATCGTTGTCTCCCACTAAAACAACTTCTCCAACGCAAATTGACTTACTAGTTCGTCTGCTCTGAAGAATTGCAAGCTGACCAAGATATTCGCTCCGAAAACGCTCTCTCAAAGAATCTCTCAGGACCTGGAGACGTTGTAATTTCTTTGTTAATGACTGCCTGTCGACGACATCGCAATCTACAACACTTGTGGATGGCAGTTCTCGTAGATACATCACTGGACAAAGTGCCATCAACTCTTGAGAACTGGATGAGAGAAAACTGATAGGCCGAGAGTTAATGACTGCTTCACAGTCGCAAAGAATTGTCATCAAATCTTCATAATTCAAAGAAGCTCGACCCAATACTCTTCGTAGTAGTTGTTTTATCATTCCCACCATCCGCTCACAGAATCCTCCCCACCAAGGTGCTGCTGGTGGGTTGAAACGCCATTCTAACCGTTCGCACGATGTCTCTCTTACTATTGCGTTCCAGTCAACTGTATTTAAAATATTTGCAGCACCAACAAAATTCGTCCCATTGTCTGTGTAAATCGTCTTTGGTCTCCCACGTCGAGATATAAATCTACGTAGAGCCTTGAAAAAGTTAGGTGTGGACAGAGATGTGCAGAGCTCTAAATGTACAGCCCGGTAAATTGCACAAGTGAAAACACATATCCACACCATTTCTTCATTTTTTAACACCAAAGGCCCCGCAAAATCAATTCCAACAATCTCAAAAGCTGCTGCGTCCCGAACACGATTGTTGGGTAGCGCGGGATCTTCAGTGACCATGGGCTTACTCAAATGTCTTCTGCAGATACTACACTTCCTGATTATGACAGAAATTGATCGGCGACCACCTAAAATCCAGAAGCGTTCTCGTAGAATGGCCAACAAGCCTTGCGTTCTGATGTGGCATGCTTTAACGTGAGCATCATACACTACTGCTGATACTACTGGATGTCTGGCGGGCAAGAGTATGGGACGTCGAAACTCATTCGAATCCTCTCTTTTCAAAATCTTAGTTTCCACTCGTATTAAACCATCCTCGTCAACGAAAGACGATAGCGTGGCTAAACGCTTCCGTTCGTCTCCTGTGAAAGCATCCAATTGTACAAACTTGAAAATCAAGTTCTCCGCCTTCTTCAGTTCCACCGAAGTCAGTTCTCCATCGTACTTCTGTCTAGCTCTGCAGTTGTGCAGGAATCTTAAAATCCACCCCATCATGCGCAACATCTTGCTAAACTTCGAGAAATGGTCTAAATGCCAAGTCTCGATTGAATCTGAATGTATATTCAAACAAGTTGCACATCTCGCTATCCGTTCTCCGTTTATCTCATTCTCATCACACTGCTCCGAAGAAATCGGCCATTTTTCTGGAGACTCGTACAACCAATTTGGTCCCTCCCACCAGCGAGATTCAAGCAACTTGGAGGGTAGCACGCCTCGAGATGGTAAATCAGCTGGATTTTTCGAACCTGTCACATGACTCCATTCCGTAGGCGATGATAGAGAACAAATCTCGTTAACTCTATTTGCTACGAAGATACTCCATTGTTCTCGTCGTTTAATCCACGACAGAACCGTAGTGGAATCACTCCAGAAATGAGTTTTAATTTCCTCTGCCAAACCACTAAGAACTAACTTGGACAACCGAGCTCCTATTAGGGCTGCCAGGAGTTCTAGTCTGGGTATCGTTGCTTTCTTCAAAGGAGCAATTCGACTTTTTGCAGCTAATAATCGAATGAAAACTTTTCCTTGGAAGATGCCTCTTAAAAACACCACAGCTGCGTAGGCGTTCTGGCTTGCATCACAGAATACATGCATAGTCAACTCGTTGGAATCACGGATAGAAAAATGTATCCAACGAGGGATCTTAATTTGCGCCAGAAGATGAATTTCTTCCAACCACCGTTGAAAATCCGAAGAAATCTCTTCTGTTACTTTCTCATCCCAAGACACTTTTTGTTCCCACGTCTTCCTTAGTAATAGCTTAGGCAATAAAGTAGCCGGGCATGTAAAACCCACGGGATCGAATATCTTCTGCGCAATGGATAGCATGGTTCTTTTTGACACTGGACGTGAATGAACCAGCTCACAATCCTTGATGACATCACTCGCTACACTCAGAGTGTCAGCAAACTTATCCCAAACGAGGCCTAAAATTGGAGTCAACTGGCTTCCTTCTTGCCCAGTATACTCCCACCCTCTCAATTCAAATTTTCCGAGGTTCATCACTGCCGTTGACTCGGATATAAAAGATTTAAGTTCATTCTCCTCTGATAGGCTCGTAACGCAGTTATCTACGTAGAAACTCGTTGCAAGCTTGGCCAAATTTTCGGAGGAGATCAAATGATTATGTCCCTTCGCTTTCTGAAGATGTAATTCGATCGTCGCTCCTAAGAGGAAAGGACTACAACTCAGACCAAAGACGACTCGTCGATGCCGATAGATGATTTCTCTTCCTTCAGAGTCCACCCATAAAAAACGTAGAACATCACGATCGCGGTCATCTATACTTATCTGAACAAACGCCTTCTTAATATCATTAGTAACTCCAAAACGTTGTTTCCTAAATCCCAATAAAATATTCGGTATTAACTCGATTAAATTGGCTCCTTTCTGTACACAGTCATTGAGCGATGGACTCAACTTTTCACGCGCTGACGCATCAAACACCGGCCGAATTTTCGTTGTAACTGACGCGCTCTTGATCACTGGTCGATGGGGTATATAATGTACAAAATCAGATTTCTCCTGTTTGTGTACTTGCTCGATGATTCCCTCATCCAACCACTCTTGAAAAACTTTGTTATAATCTACTCGTAGATTCTGACGATCCAATTTTTGTAGAGTACTCTCGAGTCTCTTCTTCGCTACACCAAAATTACTTGGAAGCGGAGAATGTTCCGATAACCAAGGCAACCGCACAACATATCGATTTTCTTCATCCACCTTTGTTGTGCTCAAAAAAAGTTCTCGTGCTTCGCTAACCATCACGTCTTGAGCTTTCTTTTCAATAGGATCTGTGATTCCCAGAGTCTCTAACTGCCAAAGTTGCTGTAGGTTAGAGTCATTAACTAACATTGACACTGCTGACAGTACTGTAGAGTTCTCAGGTTCACATGGAATCTTCCCCATAAGAGTCCACCCAAAAAAGGTCTCGCTCGCAACTAAACCAGAAGACAACACCTTTCTTCTGCCAGTGAAAAGTTTGCCGACAAGATCAATACCTATTAACAGTTCTACAGGTGCAGGATCTCCCAAATCGGATCTTTCAATGTTTAGTGTACGTAGCTCCTCCGTCCAGGGACCATCAAACACTGGAGGAATGCTGTTACAAATCGTTTCTTGCGACAAGGCTTCGAAAGAACATACATAATCACGATGACGAGCTTCAACCATGTAGCAATGATGTTCGTTCAATACCTTACTCCCACCGAACAAACTATGAATAATTTTCTCCGAACGTTTCGATGTATAACCTAGGTTCTTCGCTGTCGACTGAAGAATGTATGTGTAGTGTGACCCAGAATCCAATAGAACACGTACTGATTTGCTGCCTGCTGGTCCGTTCAAAGAAACTTTTAGGGTCTGGAGAAATACATGAGCCCTAGTGCTGTTGATCTGGGTATTTGCCTCGGTATGGATTTCTCTCAGAGTTTCCTTTGATTTTTCCTCAATCTTATTTTGATGAATTGGCAACATCGAACACATGAGAACGACATGTGGCTTACCACAGACCATGCACTTAACAGGAATCTTGCATTTGCTTGCTGCATGTCCTACTCTCAGGCACTTGAAGCAAGCTTTTTTGTTGCTCACGATCTTGTTTTTCTTCTCCAACGACCACTGTTGAGCTTTAAAACAATTTGAACTCTCGTGCGACTTCTCACAGAAAATGCAACTGCTCACATCACAATTAACTAGCCCTACCGCCGTTGGTATTTTCTCTGCAGTCCCTTTATCAGACACATGCTTCTTTTTCTCCTTTGCTTCTTGCAAACCTAAACGTTCAACTGCCAACGATATATGCTGCTCATGCTCGACTTCCGATCGTAGGAATTTCATCAAACCTGAGAGACGCTTACTGAACGTTTCATCAGCACCCTGCATCCCTTCGAGATCACTCTCAGCAATGTCGCTGCCGTAAGCACATGAAGACCGATGCCACACCCTTAGAAGTTCTTCGGGAATGCAAGACTCTATCATCGGAAACAGCATAGCCCCCCATTTCTCAGAGGTTATGCCTAATGAGTCTAAAGCTCTAATAGGTGTTTCAAGCTGATCATAAAGACTAGCGATATCTGGTTTTGAACTTGAAGATGACGCATTATTTATGATAATTCTGAGGAGTTCTCTGATCTGAACTTCAATCTGTAGATCTTCCCTACCATAACGCGCCTTCAATGCCTTTACTATCTTCGTATAATTTTGCGAAGTTGCCGGATAGCTTTCAACAAGCATCCGTACTCGGCTATTCGAATTGGTGGCAAGCCGTAAATATTCGAACTTATCAACATCATCCAAACTTGGATCATCATGCACCTTCGTAAACTGTGACCAGAAAGGCAACCAATCCTTCACAGTGCCATCAAATTTCCTAAATTCGATTCTAGGAAGCTTAAATCTACGTCGATTTTGATGAGAACTTGTAGCACTTATCGTACTTCTGTTGCTACTATGTTCTTCGATGGCATCTACATGTTGACGGAGTTCTATGTATTTCTTCTTGTAGACTTTCGCTCCTTCCAACTCCTGAATGATTTCCGCCTCTGACATCGAAGCGTCATCTATCATAAACTCGTACACTTGTTGTTCCACTAGCTTTAAATCCTCATAAGGTTCTTGCAGAAGACTCCAACTGACTTTTATTTCATTTACTGGTTTCTTCTCAAGAATTAGACGATACAGCTCATTGGTGCAATTCGTAAACAGTACCCGCATTAGTTTACGTTGTTTCAATTTCTGTTCCATTCCTTTTTAGATGTTATCTACAACAATCTCTCAAAGAAAATGAACAACAAACGTATCTGCAAACGGCCTCTGAAGTGCGAAGACTCCGAATTCACCAGCGCAGTGTCCTGTCACGGTCGCCAAATGTTGTGTCCGGGGTTCCACTGCTCCTACCCGGTGCAGTTGCCTCCGAGGTTCGAATAATACACTGCGGTGGTTCAACAGGAAATGTTATCGCACAAATTAACAGAATTGACAACGACGTATATTTTTATGTAATTCAAATTCAAAATTATTTATCACGTTACTAACTCTACCGTAACTTAGTAACTGCTACAAAATACAACAATTTGTCTGTGTTATGCGAGGTTTTTTGTCCAAAAAAGGTTTTTTCCTGGCGCCTTGTGTGCGTTATATATTTCATTTGTTGTTTTCCTTTCTTACGCATAAAAATCCGGTCCTAACCGACTGCTACGGAGATTTGAATGTGGCGCGAAACCTCAGCCGTTTCAACATGAAGTATACTCTGCTTGTAAGTTTCCTCCATTGTTGCCAACTGTAAGTATAAAGTAAGTCAAAATTACAGTGTTGGATGGATGTTACTTGCGTCTCTGTTTCACCGTGACTCCCTCAGTGACCTCGGCACTGCGCAACCGCAAGCACGCTAGCATTTGAATTTGCGTTGAACTGTAAGAGTAATAGTCCAGGAAATGTATAATTTTAGGATGCAAAATTCATGGTAGTTCTGGACATAGGCTTGTTTTATGTTTTCTGTGTCTATGAATCCGAATTTTCAACTTCCCACCAAAAATTCCCCCCGCAACCCCCCCCCCAAATTTTGAAAAAAAGAAAAAATATCGTTTAAAAAAAACCGTTATTTTGTGTATTTCAGAGAAAAAGTATCTGGAAATTTGGAAAGTAGACAAAATTTGAGACAAAAAAATCGTATGATATATTGACGTAGGGCAAATGGGTAGGGCGTTAGCGCGTCTCAGAACATGAGCCTTGGTGTCGTACGCACGCTAGGACATTACACGATAACTGCATGGTTTTCGCCACTTTCGCGATCTCTCCTATTTATCGCTGACTGTCATTTTCAATTTCTTGGTTCATCCCCTCCCCTGAAGAGCGCAGAAAGATTGCGAAGGGAAAGAAAGCAGTCATCGGTTGACATAATTTTTGGTGAATCTATGACTCCTTGTAGTCCAGGCAAATTTTTTATCCAACAGCAGAAATAAACATCGCCTCATTGAAATGATTAAAAGGAAGTCGACAGTGTGACAAACTGACGAAGACGCAGACTGCCTCATCGTTATAATACAGAAAATTGAGATCATCCATCGGTGATTTGATTATTGTCGGCGAAGATATACATTTATTAGTTCTAATAACTGCACTTGCTCAATCCGCGAATGTTTACTTTATGAAGCACAGATCTACTCACCCTTTTGTCTTGAAGAAAACACAGTGACTAAAAACATACTATTTTTACACGGTTTCAGCGGCTGTGACTCTACGTCTTCGACTTTTGGCGACGGGTCTAGAACCCAGATTTGTTTTCCTAGCTTAGCTGTTTCTGATTCCAAATGCAGACGCACAAGCTATCGCAAAAGCTGGGAATCAATTTTTACTTCGTTTGTATGATTGCAAGAATGACAACATGACTTTAAACGGTTTCAGACATCAGTGTTTCATTAGGACTGCGTACATCAGTAAACACGATATATCCTCTTTGCCTCCAACATGAAGCAACACTCATTCAGGACGTACCACCAAGTCCAACTTTCGCTAGGAAATGTCATGGAACCACAAAAATGGAGCTGGAAAAGTTAATCTTCTGGGTGCAAAAAAAAAGGATGCCGTGGCGCGTGTATATGCAGGAAAAGTTGGTTGAAATGTTCAATAATGTGCCTCGAGTGCAACAATTCATGCGCCAATAGCCCTAAAGATATCGTCTAAGATTTTGAAGAAGAGGATGGACAAGCAGAGGATTTCGAACTACTATTTGAAAAGGTGGTCCATCAAGCTGATGAGATTATTTTGGGGAAATCACATAAATCTTGATAGTTCAGCTTTTCTAGAGTCCGAAAACACGGAAGAATTGTCAGATTAGTCGTTTCTAAACTTCCTTTTTTTGTCTTCGTTCAAGAATGGATCAATCAATCTACTTTAAAAACGGGACTTTGAAACCAATTAAATCTTTTTGGTGCATGAACCTACTTTTCAGCTGTGGGCCCTTAGCTGCAGTTAAACGGAAAAGAGTAGGTAATTTAAAAATTTTTTAAATAATTTAATTTAATTTAGTAATAAAAGTCTATATTTTTTAAATATTGTAACGGAAACGCTCCAGACATGACGTCACCTTTGGCGCTCTGGAATTTTCTACGCGCGCGATAGTGGGATTTGTGTAGGAATATTCGAGACTGTACTCGAATGTGCTGGACTTACATTGCTTGCGTGTATAAATGGTTGCGGACCGAACATCGCGGGAGTCTACTACCGAACGAGATCGAGTACAGATGAAACATAGAGCGCGGAAATATAAATTGCGAAGTGTGTGATATAAATAATCGATACAAATTGTACAGTTTTTATAGTGTTTTAGTTTTGTTTAATAAATATTGATATAAATCGAACCCGAATTTATAAATCACCTTACAATATGTAGATGTGTTCTTAATTCTGAACTTGTCTGAAAATAGATGGGGAAAAGTTGGAGATTGAGGGTTGACTTCCAGATGTTGAAAAATAAGAGAGATTATAAAGGAGGGGGGTGGTTAAAACGAAAGATAAAGCGGGTAAAGGGAGAGCGAACACGAACGCCGTGGGTTGTTAAGCGAAGTGCGCCCGAGTCGCTAATAAGCATACTTCAACGCACGCCAGCGCCCCCTACGTGCGTAGTGTAGTACGTAAAAGCTTGTAGGACGTTTTTGGTTGCATACTATTTATATCTAGATTTCAAAATTGTAGGTGTTTTATTCGTGAAACCACAAAAAAAAACGATTTCTTAAAAAAACATATTTTTTTTCTTACTTTTCAAGATTTGGGGGGGTTGCGGGGGGAATTTTTGGTGGGAAGTTAAAAATTTGAACTCAGCAACCCAAAAAACATAAAGTAAGCCTATTTCCAGAACTACCATTAATTTTGCAAGCTAAGGTCCTAATATGTTCTGTATTGCCTGGGCTATAAGGGCTAAAAATAATTTTTTTGCGAGGTCAGCAGGAAACGTGGTAATATAAACAAAACAAACGCTTGCACGTTAAGGTAAATTCAAATTCAAGCGCTTTCGTCTGCGCATTGCCGAGGAAGTCACGGTGAAACAGAGACGCAATAGTGATGGAGGACTCCTAATATCCCCACAACAGATACAGTCCCATATTAATGGTTTTTCATGTATGTACTAAGAGAACCTCAGATTCCTAAGCCAACGCTTTTTAAACAATTTGAATGGCCTGCGTGCAGTATCCGGTACCAAAGATTCTAAGGAAGGGTAAAATATGTGACTCACCTTTGGTGCTTTTGTATAACAACAATATTGACAAAATATGTAGCATGTACGCTTCACAAGGTAACATATATGTGGAAATTATTGCATTGTAACTCACAGATCACACATAGATTCTAAACCGAAGAGTTTTGATCAGCGTAATCTTGCCTCCAAGATATGTAACTCGTCCCTAGTTTCGTGGTTTCGAGCCTACAGTTGAATGTCGAAGACAATCACGGAATTGGATGTTGTAACTCATTTGATTACACTTTTTAACCACCCCCCTGACTGCTTCATTCAAGGCGAAAATGTTAGTTTACAAACAACCAAGTCAGTACACATACACACATCAAAATAATTTGATAATTTACAGTTGTTTAAAAGAATGCTCAAAACTTATATGAATATTACTTCTGGTCTGGTCACCAAAAACGTAAACGATTTCAAACAAAGGATAACGATATCAAACATGTGATTCTGCATTACGGTTAAATCAAGTCAATTTTAAAAACGAAGATGAAAACCCACAAAAATATAAAATGCTGCATACACAAAACAAATAGGACATAAAGAAATGCAACAAACGTTTACGGAGCGGTGCTTCCCACATCGCCTTTAAAAACAAGATACCATTCGTGCTTTCCAGATGGCGCAGAGCACTTTTCCCCTTCTAAAATTGCGTCAATCATGCAACATTTTTTTTAACAAAAAAATAAGCCATATGATGCGAATTAATTTCTTCCAATGTGGACGTTAGTAGTGATGATTTTTGCATTATTTTTGAAAAAAAGTCTCCCACTTCAAAAATTGGAGCACCGTGAAGTTGAAAACCTTCTTTAGAAACAATGCCAATGACGCGAGACGGAATTTCTTGATGTTTTCGAGAAGATGAAGGTCGTCATTTGAATAATTTTATCAAGGTCGTTTCAGACAAAACTTTATTTCGGCATTTTTGTTATATTACCAAATTATTGTCGTTCAGCATTTGAAAGTAGAAAAAAAACCTCCCTTATCTGCTTCAAGAAGACTGAGATGGACGATTGTCGCAGCCGGATAAGTAACGGTCTACGTCTTGATTGAGATACGTCATTAATTGGATTTGGATCTGGGAATTACCACCTACTTTGTCGCAGTCACATTCAGATTACAGTTTAATTTTCGAAATAGTGAATGATTTGGGAGGGGGGAATCACAATTTGTGAGCTGTCGTTAGAAGTATCGCAAAATATGTAGATTGTTCCCAACAATTATGGCGGAATGATTTTCTTCTTGGTCGTCACACAGATTTCGTACCTACACTAACATTGGTTATTCACGTATAAATATTTCGGTTCAATCTGATTACATTTACATGTCATTTTTTGATTGGAAGTTTTGGTCGGACTGTTACCCACTTTCCCATATTTATATCGGGGACCATTTTTTAAAGTTACTGTTAGATTTTATTTCTGCGAAGTGCCATATGTAAAGTAGTATAAACAACTTTCCAAAAACAAATTTACGAAGGCCAAATTTGTTCTTAGAAGCTTGAATAAATGACGAAACATTGCCATTGGTTGATCAATAACAAGACCTATTTATATATAAATGTTTATTGACGATAATACGGCAGTACGATAACATCAGTGGAACACATCATTATATAGTAGTCGTCCACTCGCACAACAACTTATCTCACGTTAACTAAGAAGATCGTTTCCCATAGCACAGAAGGTAAGTATGTCTCATGAAATGTTTCCTGATGCGTTTCAGTACCTATACAATAAACTAACCATAACGCTATTCATTCACTTGCTTAGTCGTGATAAACTGCTAACTTTCGACGGTTGAATTAATCATCAGGCTCTTCTTCACGTTTTCTTGGTAATAGCCTTCTAATTTTTTATGTACGTAGTGAAGCCACTGCAACTATTCCAATTTCCAGAAGAAAAGAATCATTCCTCATTCACGGTGTTATCACGATCATTCAGACCATGAAATTTTTCATTTGGCAATATTAATTTAAGATAAGCATTTTTTAAACTTCGTCGACCATTCACGAAGGACAAGCAAATTGAGGAGTTTGAGGACGAAAGGTGGCCTCCTTGAACACAATGTGCGCGTGCCAATATTAGTACTAAACCAACAGCCCTTGGAAGAGATGGCAATGGATGGGAAGTGATTTACCTATCATGTATTCCGAGGTAACCCTCGCACTATCCTCCATAATCTTTAATTAACACTAATAACAATTGCTATAGTAATGTTTTCAAAATAACTATTTCCTGTTGTTACTTTATGGGTAACAACTCTGCGTCGTCTTTATCATAACAACTTGTTTATCTTTTCAATTGAAAGACTGTATCAAGATCGGTCTTAGACGACCATATAGATAAGGTTTGAGATCGTCTTCTCTGGCTATTTTTGAGTGGGCTATTTTAAATTTGACTGGCAACTTATTCATTTTCAGCTTAAAAATGATTCTCAAGTTTCAACTGTTAGTGTTTGGAGTCACCATTGTGCCCATATTGTCCATTGCATCGGACCACGATAGCGCAATGGTCATCAGCACAACTACTTCACAACCTAGACAGGATGGCAAAGAGGTCTGAATGTTGTTGTCAATACGAAGCTTCTAAATTTGCCTTTAAGAGTGAAGATGTATATCCACTACCTACGGTTCCCCAAATATACGAAGTGCGGATTCGATCCAATATCAGCAATCGCTTCGCCCACACCGTTGTCGTAAGTAAGATGAAAAACTATGCAAGAACTGCTAAAGAAGTCAGATTCTCAATGTTACTACCCGAATCGGCGTTTATATCTGGTTTTATCATGGAGGTGGGAGGTGTAAATTACACCGCCACCGTAAAAGAAAAGAAAGAAGCTCAAAGTATTTACAACAAGGTGAATTTAGTCAAATACTACCAATAGTTATCATTGTATTTTCAGGCAGTAGCAAGCGGGGACGCAGCAGCCCACGTTGCAGTGAGCGCACGCGACTCCAGTCGTTTCACCGTGTCAGCGAATGTAAAGCCCGAAGAAAAAGCGGCATTCTACTTGACTTACGAAGAATTTTTAGTCAGAAGGAATGACCATTACGAGCAAATTATCAACATACACCCAGGCCAACCTGTGAAAAATCTACTTGTGGAGGTAGTAATTAGTGAAAGTAGAAAAATTACTCATCTCAAAGCGCCTCCTCTGCGCTCGGGAAATGAAATAGGCTCAGATAAGTTAGAGCTGGATCCTAGAGCTGACATATCAATTGTGAATGATACCGCGGCAACTGTAACATTTAACCCCAACGTTGAGCGTCAGAAGGCATTGGCCCACATCTTTGGCACTAAAGTGGAAAATGGACTCGTCGGTCAATTCGTCGTACAGTACGACGTGGAGCGAGATCCACAAGGTGGCGAGGTTTTAGTTCAAGATGGCTATTTTGTTCACTACTTCGCGCCGACTGACTTGCAACCTCTTCCTAAGCAAGTGATCTTCATCTTGGACACCAGCGGCAGTATGCGCGGTCAAAAAATTCAACAACTCAAGGAAGCTATGTACAAGATCTTGGATCAGCTGCATGAACGCGATTTGTTTAATTTGGTTGAGTTTAACAGTAATGCGAGAGTTGTAGATTTAGACAACGAGGCGAATAGTGTGTGGTACCCTCGGCGAGAGGTGCATTCCACTGAGACGCATCCTGCACAAAACGCCCCTGACTTACAGGTAAAGTACTCACCGGCGCATTACAAAGATTTATTACAGTGTATCTTAGAATGTAGCATTTCCTAGAGCTTATTTTGTTAACGATAGCAATATTGAAGCAGCCAAAAAAGCGGTGTCCAAATTATTGATTGATGGCTCCACGGTTACATGCAGTGCTATCAAGGTAGGTTTGCGCTTGGCGGAAGTAGAAAGAACGAACCCCCAAGATTCTGTTGAGCGTCAACCGATTATTATATTTTTAACTGACGGCCGACCTACAGACCCGGCCTCTACCAATGTTATTACACAGGTATACTTAATTAGCCCACGTGGAATAACTAAAACATTCACTTTTAGGTAACTGAATATAACTCAGACTTGAAACACTCCGTGATTTTTGCGCTTGGATTCGGTGGAGATGTGGACATGGAATTTCTACAGAAGTTGGCGCAGAAAAATTCTGGTTACGCTAAGCCAATTTACGTGGCGGCCGACACGTCTTTGCAGTTACAAGATTTTTACCGTCAAATATCTTCTCCTTTACTTGCAAACGTATCGTTTAGGTATGAACCTTCAGTGACCAGTTTAACAAGGACGGAGTTTCCTATACATTTTGGTGGTTCAGAACTTGTAGTGGCCGGTTTCTGTGGAGACGCACTTCCTTCTGTTACCATTGATGGCATTGGCGTTCGAGGACGAACAACACTCAAACCCACAGTTACTAGAACAATATCGAATATGGAACGGCTATGGGCATACCTTAACATCAAGCAGTTACTAGAAAATAAGGATGTATCTGAAAATGAAACCAGTGTCTTGAAGGAAAAGGCTTTGGATTTGGCGCTCAAGTATTCGTTTGTCACGCCTGTCAGCTCCCTCGTTGTTGTGAAGCCTAACGACACCAGCGCAGTTGATATGGAGCAAGTGAAACAAAAAGAATATGGAACTCGTCCTTTATATTCGCCAATGAGGGGGCGTGCAAGATCTAAGGCTCGTACTCACTCGGTGTTAACACAGCAGTCAGAATTAAACCGCCTATTGAGCATTCTTCCATGGCTACGTGGCCTACTAAGTGGTGAATCCGTAAAACTGCCCCAAGGTGGGTTTTGGCGCGCTTGCACGAATCATAAACTCACTTACGAAATATGCAGGTACTTACAAATTGGGGATAAACGAAACAATCATCGATATCATCACATGTCCAAAGACTCCCTTAAATGAAGAAGGCTATTGTAGGCTACTCAAAAGCTGCCCTGGGGTAGATGTATTGTTGAAGAGTTCCTCGGACTTTTATGACCATTTCTGCGTGTTAAAGAATGAGTAAGACAAGTCTGTAGTAATGTGAAATTTCGATAAACTGTCAAATTTCGTTTCAGATTTGCTGGTGTTTGCTGCCCTCGTAACTAACTATGGTGCTGGCAACTGCAGTGTATAAAAACTTTTTGGGGACACGATTATCATAGTCACTAATAAATAGTAGTAGTAGACCGTTTGAACGCCTTACAAACTATTTACTCAATCCTTAAAAATGGAGTGTAAAGGCACGTATTCATACAGCGAACGAATTCGCCCGAATGGATTCGTTCGGGTAATGTGTATGCACATGCACAACCAATCACAAGCGAACGAATATTCTTGCATTGAAGCATGTTAGGTACGAGTATATTTTCTAGCGTGTACGGCTTTCCACAGCATTCGCAATGGCTTAAGAAAGCAGTCGTTGGGAGGTCTGTGGGCAGAAATATTAGAATTGAACGAATTTGGGAGAATTCAGACGGTCATTCGGTCGAATTCGTTCGCTATACGAATACGGGCCTTAAAGCGCTGATCAACAGAAGTGATAGTAAGTTAGCCGTGCAACGCAACGGTGTTGTTTTTACCACCCGCACGTTAATAACAATGACCCCCCCCCTCCGCCTTTTTTTTACGGACATACAAGTTTTGAAGCACCAGGAATCCGAATCAAACAAAATCTCGATGATGTCGATCTGTCTGTCGGTCCGGCTATACACTCACTTCCGACTAAACAACTGAACCGATTGGAACCAAACTTGGTATCCACATTTTTAGACCTAAAAGGAATAGATGAAAATCGTTTGGGCAGAATCGCGCATCGCAAGTGTGTCGAACTCTCATTTAATTTTTTTAAATAAGTTATTTTGAACAAACCTATCAAAAGCACAAGAAGAAGCTTTTGTCAAGATCTTGACGCCTTTACAAACTTCCCAGGATAGACCACATATTACCCCTTTCAATTGCAATTCCTACTCGTTGAAACAAGTGGGTATAGACATCACCAGCAACTTTTGCTATTCGTTGACCACTAGCTAGCCTATATCTTTCCGTGAGCCTTTTGCGCTGCTCGACCAGTTGAAATGCCGGTTAATGAAGACAAGAGGTCGCAATTGTATCCCGGCGCAGAAGAGACTTCTCTTTTGACAATGTCCAGAGGACTAAACCGTAAGGATGTTTACCATCAGTTCTTGAGCAACCAGGTGGACTCCGGGTAGGCGGTTGCTAAGAATTTCGGTGGAAGAAAGAGCTAGAGTGATCATGTCATTACATTACATTTCGGCGACCAACACCAGATCCTCCAAATTGAAGAGAACATGAAACGTAGAATGATATGAATGAATAAATCTGAAAGACAACAGCCACAGGTCGTGAGTGCGCTAGGAGATGCCATTTCGCTGTTGGTGATTGGACTTCATTTTGAAGAGATAAAGCGGACGCGTATACTACGTTTCTTCGTCAACAGGAAATACATTCTACGGTTGATCGTGTACTGAAAATACCAAATCTTCGCCTCAGCGATCGGAGGGGTACTAATCTTGTTTTGGAGAAAATGAAATCTTGTAACCGTAAAACACAATATAGTGGAGTCGAATTGTATACAGTTTGTAGGTATAATGGATCTTTGATCGGAAACAAGCTCCTTTTAAATTCGTCGGTACAAACGTCCATTAGACTATTTGTATCAAAATTTGGTATGCTCTTCAGAATTGAACTGCAGTACGATCCTCACGACATCGAATCACAAACCTAGCGTCAATAAGCTGCACCTGAAATCAGAATCAGCGAAGGATTTATTAATCACGTTTTATTCGAATTATCAGTGAAAGAAATTGAATTCCGCATATTTTTATGCGACTTGTTTAGAATTACTTGCATATTTGATAGGGTAAAATTAATTATTTGGTCTGTGAGATATTTTTTGAGCTTAGTTAGAAATTAACCTTTGGTCCTTTTGGAGTAACTCTAAAAATTTGTGTGATTTATTCGTGTTAGAGTAGCGATTGGAGATCGCGTTCTGGCAATAATTTACCTGTCCCTCCGGTAAAGTAGAGGTGTCGGTTGTAATACCGCGCTCTCCCCAGTTACCCTCCGTGAATTAAGGGTGTCCGGTTATATAGCCGCGCTATTAATTAAGTTTACCGGTCCCTCATTTAAAGTAAATGTGTCGGTTGTAATACCGTGCTCTCTCCAGTTACCTTCTGTGGCTGTGTAGCCGCGCTATTAATTAAGTTTTTAAATTTCGGGGGGGGGGGGGGGGGCGTGTTACCGTGCGCAGATGTGTCTGTGAGTACGTGGCAGGAGAGGAAGCAAGGATCTCCTCTCTTCCTTTCCTCCCCTCCTCCTTTCTTCCTCTCTTCCTTTCTTTCTTTCTTCGCTCTTCCTCTCTTCCGTTCTGCCTCTGAAATTGTATACTACAATATGTTAAAGATGAACAGCAGCGATATTGCTGTGTGCATTGATCCCAGGCCAAAAACGACCATACACAAAACACTTCAAACCCAACCACCTTCCCCAATTAAAATTTTGCCCGGTACCGATCCTCACCCTGATACAGAAAAATGATTTCATTCCGACCTTACAATTTTGATTCACGCCAGACAGTGGGCAAAACCAAAACCCTTAGATTCCAAACGGGGTGTTACCAAATTTGTACAAACACTTACAATGAACTTTGGGCGAGAATCAGTAAAATTAATTGTAGATCATAAGAATTTGGTCACGAAAACACACAAAATCATAAAAAGAAAAACGACCAACACCGTCCCATTAAACTGAATACAAGTGCTCAAGAGAACGTTGCAATTAACTACCAAGTAAGACTTAAAATTACTTACAGTTTTCTTTTTCGAGACAAAACATCTGAATAAGGTTCGTACACCCAAATCACTAGTTAAACTATCTGAAACCACCTCCTCGTTTCTCCAACTCCAAATGTTTGCATAGACGCTTTTCTCAAACACAGCACAAACGAGAAACCAAAACAGCCTTCGAACTTGACAAACTAATTTAACTTGAAAACAGCTGTTCTTGATAACTTAAAACATATTCGGCTTCGAACAAGGTAAACTGAATCCTTCTCCACTTCTAAATAAATCTTTCGAAGCTGGATGAGAGGCTTCTATAACCGAACCGTAACTTGGGCTCGAACTTGCACGAAAAAAAATAATATTGCTTCTAATGGTCAGCAGGCCGGTCCCGGTTTAGGGGAAAAAAAACTTCTTCCAACGGACGGCTTCGATAACAAACAAAAAGCTTCTTAAAACGTATGACACTCCGGCCCCGAACTTGGCAAAAAATCGTCTTCTTTCCGCGTCTCTCGTATTTAAACGGAAAACCCACTTAAATTTCGTAAATCTTTTTTAACCAATAACAACTGCTTAGAAACGACAATAACAAATACAATGAAACTCAAATCGGCACGCCCGCCCTAATTCTCAGAAATTATTTTTAATTCAAAAATTTCTACTCAACAATACAATTTTTATTAAATATTAAAATAACCACGTTATCTCAAACAAATACCTTTATTTCTCTCAAATAAACGAAAACTTATTAAATCACATCGAAACTGTCACACTTGCATTAATGAGCACCTTGATAAACAAATAAAAATTGATGCACAATAATTTCTTAATCTAACAATTCCAAGAAATCTATTATTATTAAACAGAAAATAAACAAATACAACCATGACTGAACGCTCGATTTGGAAAATTGTTTTGTGCTAAAACGTAATTACACCTACGACATGAAACAGGAAAAAAATTGTAGTTTTATTTAAGCTGGATTTATAGTTCCGTTCCCGCAACGCCGTACCGTAACGTTTGGAATTAAACCCTACTTGTTGCGTGTAAACATTTATAGTTCGCGTTAACGTTGCGTTAGAACGGTTACGGTACGTAGGAAATGCCCAAATCTTATTTCTTACGGTAAATCGTGCTAACGCGTTTGTCATCGGCAGTACTCGGATAATTCAAACAGTTGAGTTTATCCTGACGTTCGTTTCGTTTATTTACAATAATTATTGACACTTTGTTGGTTATTATTATTTTGAAATGCACGTTACTCTTACTGACAGATGACATAAGTTCGTGGCTCAAGCTCATCTCTTACCACTACGGTAACTATAAATCGTATAATTTTCGTTAACGTAAGATTTTACGGTTTCGTTTTTACGTTCTTACGGCTACGGAACTATAAATCCGGCTTTAGTCACACTCCCGATGGTGTCTCACGTCCCAACCTTATTCTGTGGTCCCAACACATAAAGAACCGACCATAGTATAACACAACGCAGGAGTCTGCCATTTCGACATAAAAATTGTATGTCGCTGCTTCTAGTTTCTCCTACAGTGATTATGCAGTGAGTTTTTTTAAAATGCGAAAATAGGAGTTTGCAGGCAATGTAATTTCCCTATGTTCGATTTTAAAAAACACACATCAATCTATGAGGTGTGCGCGGTTCACATTCCCAAAACGCGCAATTTGTGTGACTATGAACAGCAACTCATAGTCTTTATGATGAAGCGCACTCGGTAAGATTTTTTTAAATAAGCCATGTGAGGCCATAGCAACTTTAGGATAAATTTTTCTTAAACTTACGATAACTTGACTTCACATGGCACGCGCTGACATCACAATTCATTGTGAACCAACCCACAGAATACGGCCTTCTCAGAATAGAAACAGCAATGTTACAAATTTGTATGGTATTTTGGCGGAGCCTGGTGGGTGTACTGTGAACTAAAGCAACGAAATCAGAGTAGCGCCATCTGGTGACCAGCTTCTAAAGTCATGAAGTAATTTCCCAAATTCGATATAAATCATAAATATCGATAAAGAATACACAGTTGTTAAATTAAATTGTATTTAGATACAATCACATTACATTATTTAACACAGAGAACTTAAATTACATATTTACAAATTACATATTATAAAACTCAGAAGTGAGTGGAACTTACGGTTTGTAGATGTTAACACTTTGAAGAAAGATCCTTACATAACGATTTGTCGTACGAAATATTTGGTTTTACTTGTTGTTTGGACTACATATTTTTGTTAAAAAATATCTTTAGAACTAAATTTTTTGTTCCAAGAGGTAATAAAACCGTTTCAGCAAATTGTCACACAAGTTTTTGACAACAAAATGTTAACTTGATTCTGGTGCTTACTTGTTACTTGAGAAGCGAGGGT